AGAGTCACTGTCCCTCCCAAAGTTAGGCATCTCCCCCTACCCACGCCCCACTCCCCATCACCCCAGCTCTTCGGGCGGTTGGCCTCTCCAGCCAGCCATACTGAACACAAGTGAGTGGCAAGGCTTCCTCTGGAGGAGCCAGCCTGGGACTCAGCCTGGGTCTCGGGTTTCCACCCCGCCACACCCACCCGCCCTGAACCAGACCACACCTGCCAGGAGTGTCACGTCCCCTCGTCACCTCTCTCCCACCTAAGACAGGGATCTCAATCTCAGCCAGCCACTGTACTGTGTCAATCAGTCGGGCAAGAGCTAAAGAAAGAAGTGGCCTTGCCTCCAGAATATTGGCGTGCTGTTGGATCTTCTAATTTTTCAAGTGAATGTAGAAATACAGATTTTTATGCAAAAGATTCCTATTTTTAAGTGGAAGGTCATTTTTTAACAAGACACTAGGGGCAAAGAACGCACATTTGCAGAGTAAATTAGGTCTTTGGGCTGCCAATTTATAACCTCAGATCTGGAAAATTAAGTCCAGATTCTTCACATGGAGTCAAAGACCCGCTTTCAGAGTTAGAAACATCACTGGCAACAGAAATTACAACAAACAATCAACAACCACCACTACCACTAATAGTGGTATTATTACAGGTTACTTCAGTTCCCCCTAAATGATAATAATGACCCAGAAGTAATAGCAGCAGAGACAATGGTCACTGAGTATGTACAAGGAATGTCAGTGGTTTGGGCCAAGGCACGATGTCAGTGGGAGTTAGAGAGGGCTCTATCGGGAGGTAGCCTGCTTATTCCAACAAAGGACTCAGGGATTCTTGCTAATGTGATAATCAGACCATATCCCTGCCCTGGTTAACCCTTCCCATTGCCCTCATGTCAAGTACGCATTCTGATCCTGAACCCCGAGCACCTTGAGGAGTCAGCCTCTGCCAAGCTCTCTAGCTTCCTTGTGTGGTGTCTCCTGCTCTGGCTGGGCAGGCTCAAGGAAGTACAACTGCTTGTACTCTGGCTCATGTATGTCCCAGCTCATGATGTCCTTCTGAGGATGATGATGACAGGTGGCCCATATTTAACACATATTGCCTGCCGGGCACCATAGTCTAAATGGACCCATCTCTGCCTTCACAACAACAACGTATGAAGTAGCTTCTCTTACTTCTCAGATGAAGAAACTGAGGCAGAGAGTTTAAACCATGTGCCTAACCAGTAGCCTAGAATGGTTACCTCTGTCCTCACTCCAGTCAGTCTAGACACTTCCTCCTGTAGGAAGCCCCTGCTCACTGCCAAGCCTGCCGCCATGCCCTGGGCTCCTAGCCGCCATCACTGTGCTGTGACCTGTCCCTCGTCTGGCTCCTGTGTTCCGCTGGGAACTGTGAGCATCTTGAGTGTGGAAGAATATTTGGCTAAGCTCTGTCCTCAGGCCCAGCCCAGGGCCTGCCATGTATTAGGGCCTTACTAAGGGATGCTGAATACAAGGAGGCTAAATCTCTCCAGAGATCACTTGTTCAGAAGCATCCCCGACCATAGAACCTGGCAAGAAGAACCATCCTTTATCTTAGGGGCGCCTTGTTTTTCTTGCTTCTCCCTCTCCTGATGATGCTTGTCTTTTGCATCACCTAGCAATTTCTGGGGCTCATCCAGCTCTTGGCACCAGGGAGGGTGGCCCCCTTGCTGCCCTCAAGCAGTCAGCCTCAGTGATGACCACCCCCACAGTCCCCACCAGTGCTCTTAGAGTCTCGGTCCAGCCCCTGGCTCTGTGTGTCTATACTGCAGCCCCACTGGACAAGTGATACCGAGGTCTCTCAGAGTATGTGCTTGGTCTGCGCTTAGTGTGAATGCCTTTTGACTTGAACTGAACAAGCTTGATGATCGGGAAGTTGTTCCCTGAGCTAATTCAAAGCTCTACTGTTTCCTTCTGGAGCATTCCCCAGGCCCCTGTGGGGGTGGCTCAAATGCCCTCTTTTGCACTGACCTTGGATGAAGTGACCCCTCAGGCAGCAAAGCGAGGTGCCCTCCCTCTGCGTCCCTGCCTCCTCTTTTCCCTCCCCAACAGCCAACCGCCTTTCATCCTATTGCATTTGGTCCTCACTTTAGAAGCTTCTTGGCGGGAGATAAAATATTAGTTGATTGGAAAACACATGTGCTAACATTTGCAGGGTATAAAGTAGGTGGGTTGTAACCACATTTACTTTTAATTTGTCTGGGAACTGAACTCTGCAGGCAGCACTATCTGATTTGAATTTCTACCACCAGCTATACACCGTGAACCAGCTGGGGCCCCGAGACCGGGGGTAGGAGCTTCGCTGCAATCTCCACCATGTAAGCCCCCGCAGCCAAGGCTCGGACTCACAAGCACACTCACGCGTGTGCTTGCACGTGATCATGCCCCCATGACCACTCATGCACACACGGCACACCTGTGTGCACAGGTAAAACCCACCCCACACCCTCCATACGTGTAATGCACACGGGTAGATAAGCGGTGCACACGCAGGGTGCAGAAAATCAGCACGTGGGCAGACTGCACCCACGTGCACACTGTTCGCGTTCGTGCTTACGTAAGCAGAAGCATACAGAATGCTTCCGTGTGGACACAAATATACACCACACTCAGACTATCCCCATTGCATACGTCTGTACACGCCTTCCACACAAATGTTTGCAGGATGGAAAAACGTACAGACGTTTGCAAACAATGTGCATACTATACATACACGCCTTTCATAGAAATGTATCCACAAGGCACTGCAGGCACACAGACGCACATCATTCACTTTCATGCACACACAAATACACGCAGGTCACATACACAACCTCGTGCACTTACCCATACCCAAACCCACAACTGCCCTTCATCAGCGGGTTCTGCCTTTCCCTGCCTTCCTTCCTCTCACCCACCCCCACCTCACGTTTATTTGGCCACGCCCACACTCTGGCTATGCAGAGGTCAGGTTCCCCGCCGCCCCCCCCCCCCGAAACTGGAGAAAAGAATGTTCCAGGTGCTCCCCACTTACTGTTTTTTGTGCCTCTTCTCGTCCCTTCTTTTGCTTTTTGGGCTGGAGGAGCTAATGGAGAAACGGCCAATTAATTAAAAGATGCAGAATCCCAGTTCCAGATAAAAAGAAACAGTAGTTAAGATGCTTTACACACCAGGGTTACAAGACCCAGGCAGTCTGGGGACAGACGCTAATCATTTCCAAGAGGAGAGCAGTCACTGCTGATTTTTTTCACCCGGCAGGTTCAGCTAGAGACAGTGACCCACACACAGACTGAGAATGAGGTGATGCAGGGGGCCATGGCCAGCTCTGGGAGCTTAATAATACAGTCGTAAATAAAGGTAATAATAATACCTGCCATGTGTCAAGGATTTATTGTAAGCAAACACTGCTAAATACTTTTCGTCAACAGTCTCATTTCACTCTCCCTGCAATCTGTGGGCAGAGGCACATTTATTTAATATGTACTCATTTTACAGATGTGGAAACTGAGCCTCAGCTAGGCTGAGAAACTTGGCCGGGATCACACAGGTGAGCTAGGATGTGGCCCCAGACCATGGGTCCCCAGAGCCTAGGCTGTTGGTTGATGTTCAGTCAGTTTCTAAGAGCAAAGAATGGAATATATAGGGAGACACTCTGAAGCTTCATGAAGCTTGGCCGGTTCTGTAACGTACTGCCCGTGATTATCTAAGTATCTGTTGTTGTTTTTTTAAGTCAGAGGGCTGGGGTATGGACGGGTCCGGTGGACAGTGATGAGGCGCGTTCCCAGCATTACCAACTAGAGGCCCCAGAGGGAGGGTGAATGCTATTTGGTAGTTCAAGCCAGACTGGCTTCAGGGGGGTCACCAGGAATGCAGGACCGGCCTAGGTCCTGGATAAAGGGAAAACCTTATACAACTGCTGTTGCACCTTGACGTCAGCCGTGTGATTTATCTCCGTGTTTGAGACTCAGCCTGGGCAGTGGAAGAGCCCAGGACCTCACTGAAAGGTCCAGGTTCACGTCCCAGCTTTGCTGCTCAGTCGCTGTGTGACATCAGGCAAGTTACCTGTCCTCTGGAAGACCCAGTTTCCTTGACCGTGAGGTGGGGCCATTGCTCAGGCTGCTGGGCTGGGAGGCTGGCTGACATTGGTAATCGCTCTCTACCTGTTAACTGGATAAACAAAAGAACTTTGCACTCTGCCAACTGCTCTAGGTGTGGCTGTTATTTAAGAAGCCACTGTAGGGTGTCCTGATCCTGTGTCTGACAGACGTGGGTTTGAATTTTGGCTCTGTCACCTGACTCTGTGTCTGTGGACAAGCCTGTCACATCCGTCTAAATCTCAGTTTCCTCATCTGTAAAATGGGAAGAATAAATACATCCACTGTACAGGGTTATGATGGAGATCAGTGGAGGTTAAATACACACACACATGGCAGGGGCTTAGTGCAGGATCCAATTTATAGTGGCTACCCTGTAGGTGACAGCTCGATCTGTGCTCACCTACTGTTTCCAGTCCAGTAGGACTTGGCCTCTGTCCCTTGGCTAAGATCTGGGAAGGCTTTGGTGGGGTGGCTGGGGCCGATGGTTCCCTATATGCCCCAACCTGGGATTTCAACGTGATAAAACAGACTCTGACCAGGGTAGCCAGACTTTCCAGGGAGGGGTATTGGTGGGGGCTGGTCCAGGAGCAACCATCCAGCCTGACGGAACGCAAAAGCTGGCTTGGAAGTTTCAGGGAAACCAGCCCAAGGCCCTCATTTTGGAGGAAACTGAGGCCCAGGAAGATGCAGGGGGTGTGCTCAAGAGCACAGAGATGGAGACGGAGAACTGACTCTAGAAGCTGCCTAAAACCTTGTTAGGAAAGCAGGAAGCAGAAGCAAGCAGCCAGAAATGACAAGGTTCTTACCTGTGCCTTCTCTTCTTGGAGAATGACCTGATTAAAGGAATTAAAAGGAAGAGAGGGAGGGAGGGAAGGGAGAGAGGAGGGAGGAAGGAAGAAAATAAATACAGGTGAGTCTGAGATTTGTTTTCCTGGGACAAACGTATCAGTGCATTTATGGTCATGCTACACGGGGGTCAGGACACCCGGCGAATCCTCCTTCTGTCACAGATTTCGGACAATGGACACCATATGGGAGATACTGGTTTGCATTTTGAATTTCAGTCAAACCCACCGGAGCTTCAGTCCTCACCCCAAAATTGTCAGTGAGCCTGTCTCAGTTGGGGGTGGATGAAGGGGATATACAAGAGTCCTCTGCCTCCTCCCCTACCCCCGGGTGGGGTGAGCCTAGTGGTGGACTCTTCATCCTCCTCCTCCTCATCATCACGGGACAACCAGCTCCCACGTGTGGAACTTAACTGCACCAGGCTCCATGCTAAGCGTCTCCCACACGCTCAGTCTTCACCCAAACCCTGGGAAGTTCTAGTAACAACCATTTTGTAGACGCTGAAGCTCAGAGAAGTTAGTTAAGTTGCCCAAGGTCACACAGCTCCATCCACGTAAGTCCTAGGGATTCTTCAGAGCTCCGCTCAGATATCACCTCCTTGTAGCATTTTCTGATCCCCTCAGGCTGGTTGGGTGCCCCAAGCTTGGGTGAGCTTCTGAGCTTAGTCTTATACTGCCCTCTGCACATTATAATGACTCATCTTCCCCACTAGAAGGTGAGCCACTTGAGGTCCAGGGCTGGGTTTTGGTCACTGTTCTGTTCCCGAAGCCCAGAATCTTATTCATAGGATATACTGGGTATTCAATAAATAGATGTGAAAAATGGGATTTTTTTTTTTTTAATTTTAGCCCTGAAGCCATGTTCATGGAGGGGAGAGAAAGAAAAATCTCTATGCATCCCCCACCCCTAGCTCCTATCTCCAAAAAAGTCCACTATCATTAACTCAACATCTCAAGAGCTTGGAGAAGCAGGGCCAGAAGTAGGGTGGTGCTTAGCAGGTGGTTTGGAAAATACCAGCAATAGCATCTTCCCCTCTTAATCTCCACCTCCTGGGCTAAGCGTGGCTGGCAGAAAAAGCCGTTCCTAACTTTCTGGCACAGTCTCTTTCTCAATGAGGAGAAACCCTTGAGTGAGAAGCCATTTGACTTCTAAGATCCTGATATGGAAAGGTCCCCCGAAATAGGACAGATTGGTCAGCAGAGGAAGGCGGCATTGCCGCCACAGGGGACCCCACGTCGGGAAAGGTTTCTAACACCAAATTAACAACGTTTTGCTAATCAGCTTTCCCACGTTGTGCTAAGCGTGGACTCAACAGTCGAAATGTCTGGGCAGGCAGTGGACATAGCTGGTGACACCAGACTGAGTTGAGACCATTCTGGCAACAAGGGCTGAGATGTGGCCACACCCCTGGCTTGGAAAAAGCCACTTTGGGGGCAACTTTGAACCAACGGTGGGATGCAGGGGGGAAACCCACATGCACTCTTCTCCTTTGTTCCACTGTGATTGTTTAATTGCACAAGTAATCCACCACTGATGTAGGCAGATTGGAAGAGAGGGATAAGCAAAAAAGGATATATATTGCTCTTTCCGTACCGTCCACAGCCAAACATAGCAAAGAACTTACACTGGGAATTTCAAACTCCCTGCCCCCAGGGCCAAGCGGGCTTCGTAAATGTGTGTGAGGCGGTGCTAAGTGGGGCCTGTAGCACACGAAAGCACCTATGCTCTGTCTAAATGCACAGCAATCCCTCAACCCTAGCTGGTGGCCTCCTGTGGGAAAAGTGGCCCAGTGAAGGCAGAGCTGCTGATTTAACGGAGGAAATGGAAAACTTGATTTTTTTGTTTTATTATGCAATCTCCCAATTATAAAATGCTGAGTTGGCCCATGAGCCACAGATTTGAGTCCTCTGTTGTACATCCTTCCAGTTCTTTAATTCCCCCCCCCACACACACACATACATGTGTGTGTGTACGTGTGTGAGTAGTGGGCACCTTTCAGAATGTGTGTCCAGCTCACAATGCCCCTTAACAACGTCCACAAGGGTGGACAATCCCAGAAGCCATGTTTTACATGTTCCATCCTCTAGGACAAGTGGGACCCACCAGAGAGGCCCTTCCTTGGGAATCTGGAATAAGGAACAAGCCAGAGGGCTCCTGTGTCTTCTTGTGGCTGGGTCTGCCACACGAAGACATGGGAACAGGGTGCAGCCGTGTCTCCCCGTGTGGAACAGGGACTGTGTATCCTGCTTGGGTGCTACCAGCTCTCCACCCCCCGGTCCCAGCCCCTCACTGAGGTCTGACTGGTTCCTGAGACACTCCTGCCTCCTTATCATCACACATCCCTACGGGCCGGAGTTGGCTTTAGTGGGCCTCGGTTCCTTGCAACCAAGTTCTAAGTTAGACAAGAAAAAGGAAATAACAACACACAGGTGAGTATTGTACATAAGTGAAATGATAAGTTTCCCAGTGAACTTTGGGCGCCACCCACTCCCACCCCAACCCCCACCCCACCCGGAGGAGGAGGAGGGTGTTTGCCAAGGAGGAAGAAGGACAATACCTGTGTCGCTTATGTTTCTTGGAACCTTTCTTCTTCTTTTTCTTGACAGGCGATGGACTGTATGATGGGGACCTGCCGGGGGAGGAGACACCTTCAGAGGGATGTTCTTAAGGGCCAGCATGGGCTTTCAGAGACCCTTCTCCCGTCCCCACACAGGGTCTCAGCTCTTTCGGTAACACACACAAGGGTAATACTGATACTGACATTAACAGTACTTGCATTTATCTACTTGATATAATCAAGTCTGCATTTGTTTTCAATGTCACCATGTGCTTTATAGGCATTACCTCATCTAATCTTTCCACACGTTCCCCACGTAGGGGCAATTGCTACCTTCCTTTTTCATACAAGGAAAGTGAGGTTCAGAGAGGTAAAGTGACTCATCCAAAGACACACAGCTAAGACGTGCATGAGCCGAGCTTCAAACTGAAGCCTTACTGAGAGCAGGGGCCTTGCTCTCAATCCCTTTTTTGTCTGCTGTTCTCCCCTCAGCTCTGCCCTTCCTCTCAGATACTTGAGGTCTCTCTTGTGCCTCACCCTGTCTCCCCGGTAGGGCCGAGCCCTTGGAGGAGACCTCGTCAGGCTGTGGTCGGCACGGGTGGTGCTCTCAGGGGTTACCCAAGAAACAGAGCCACCCCAGGAACCTGACTATGATTCAAGACTGAAGTTCAAGTGACCTGAGTTCCAAGCTTGACTGTACCCCCGACCCATGAAGTCACCTTGGACATGTCACTGCTCATCTCTGCATCTTTCATTTCACCACTGACAAAATATCAAGGCTGAAACAGATTAGGAGTTTCAAAGTCAATGCCAACAGGGGCCTCTCAGCAGGAGGGGTGTAAGACAATAGAGAGTGGTGAGGACTGTGGTGAACCCGAGAGCATCTGCTTCTCAGATCGGCCAGAGGTCTTATGTAGGAATGCAGCCCTGGGCTTCTGGAACGCCTGCCTTTTCAACACAAGTCACCAGAAAAACACATCTTCATGTGAAATCTGGTTTTTAAATGACGGCCACCAATTAGACAAAAGAGGAGCACTTGGGTGGTTCAGTTGGTTAAGTGCCCTGACTCTTGATTTTGGCTTGGGTCATGATCTCATGGCTCCTGGGATCAAGCCCTGTATTGGGCTCTGTGCTGACAGCATGGAGCCTGCTTGGGATTCCCTCTCTCCCTCTCTTTTCCTCTGCCCCTTCCCTGCTTTCTCTCTTTCTGTAAATAAATAAATAAACTTAAAAAAAAAAAAAAGACAAAATAAGCCCTTGTAGGTCAAACAGAACATGTCTTTGGGGGGAAATGCAGGGTTGAGAACAACTTCTCTTAGGGGACCACAGCACCTGTCCCCCAAACACATGCCCAGGGGACATTTATTGGATGAACAATTGAATTAGTGAAGCCTGATTTCCTTCTTTGAAGTGTTCTGCCCACCCCTAAAATCAGGAACCTCAAAGCCACTTGCCCCAATCCCCCCCCCTCACCCTACGATGTAGGGTCTTCATTCACACTCCCCTCTGGGTCTTCTTTGGGCCTTAGAACGAGGCTAAAAGGGCATAGCAAGAACCCGGAAAATCTGGAGTTGGGGCCCGAGTCATCCAGACACTGCTCTCTGCTGCCCCCTGCAGGCCTCTTCAAACACTGCCTCTGAGGTTTGGCGAGATTTTCAACCTGACCCCCTCTGGGTCTGGAACACTGGACATAATTGTCGTCTTGAAGAAAATCTGGAAGTACTTTTAAATTAAAAAAAAATTAGAAGAGATTTTACAAAGAAAAAAATCCATGGGGCACAAAAGACTAATTGCTGGCCAAAAATATAAACTTCATTTTCCTTGGCATTCATCTGCTAGGTGGGAGTAGGAGAATCAACTGAGGAGACTGGGATCCCTGTAAATCTGTCACCCTCTGTCCCCTGCCTTTTTTTTTCTCATCTCTGAAATGGGTACAATAATGTTTGGTAAATTGTGGTCAAAGGGAAAAGACAACATGGAGATCACAGTGCTTAGAGCATAGCCCTCCACACAGAGTAAGTTCTCAAAAAAAAAAAAAAATCATATTCATGGTGATGATTCTGCTGATTCACTGGTCATTTGTTGTGTGCCAGACACTATGACAGCTCCTTCCACAGCCATTTTTCTCCATCTGATTCTCACAAACGCCAGGTGTAATCGGTATTTTATACAAGTGGAAACAGGCACAGAGAGGTGAAGGGTCTTGCCTAAGTCACACAGCTAGATAAGAGGCAGAGATTCAAACCCAAGGGGAGTCACTGTTTGACACTGAAACCCATTTTACCCCTACTTCATCCTTTCTCCCATCTTTAAGATTTCATCTCCCCTTAGGACGCTCACCTCCTTCTCTTCTTCCGGGTGGATTTCTTCTTTTTCTTCTTCCCCCTGGAGGAAGTTGGTGGCGTCAGGTCTTTGTCACAGGAGGCACTGTGGGGAGCACAGAGTCAGGTATTAGAGAACCCAGGACGCCCCAAGCCCCAACCAGGGCTGCTGCTGCCGAGGAAGGAGGACCCAGCTCCTTGGAGGATGAAGGACCCATGGCGAATACCTAATTACCACCTCATGGTTGATTTGGTCATACTGCAGATTAAGCACTTCAAATAAGGAGTTAATGCCGACCTAATGAGACAGACGTTGTACTGTTACCCAAACACCAATTGATTATTTAAAACAGAGTTATAGAGGTTAACTGCTCCTTAATAGATTTATTATTGAATTTGCAAATGGCTCACCTTGGTAAATAAATCACTTTTTAAATAATTAATCAGCAGTTCAGCACCCCCCCTCCTTCCCCAGTACTTCATGTCCATCGTTCTTGCCGGAAATTTAATAGGAGGAGGAAGTTATGTTAAGTAGCAGCTGATTATTAAAAGTATATTTGCCGAGGTCTAATGTAATGAGATACATATCTTATATCGCTTCACAGAACCTCAAAAACCTCTGCTCTTCAGGAATAATTATTTCCCATTCAATTAAATTCAAATGCTCTGGCTGCAGCTGAATGAAGTCAACTTATCTCCTTTTATAATTGGGGAAGGCTCCAGGGATTTTTTTTAAAACACTATCCTGTGGCAAAAGGAGATGGGTTTGGGAAGAAAAACTGCTTGGGGACTGAAACATGCCCACTCAGTTGAACGTTACCGGGAAAATGTAGTATCAATAAGAATACTATTGTCGTTATTAGCGTTAAGACCACTATCATTGATCCCCTTATTATGTGCCAACCGTTTTACATATACAAAAACACTTTGAAGGCGGTATGACTTTTAGGGTCTCATTTTACAGACACAGACCATAAAGCACAAAATCATGAACTGGCTTGCCCATGGCTGCATCTGAGGTGGGATTGCAGTCAAGTCCTGTGTAATTCCCACCCAGAGAGCTTTCCCACAAAACCAACTGCCTTCTCAAACTTGTTTATGTGGACATTTCTTTTGGAAGTCACCCAGCTCTTTAAAGGCCATCATCAAATGCTGCCATATTGAATTCCATTCTAAGAATCTGGATCATTATGGGTAGTAGAAAAAATGACCAAGCGACTAGACTATCTGTTAAGGTCTCTGCATTGCCAATAAATAAAAATTGTATAGTTATATCTAGAACGTTTTCAAGAGAGTCACTTTAAGCAGGCTTAAATCAAATATCACAGGATTAAGTACCTCACTACTTAACTACACTTATGTGTTATAAAGCACAAAGCATAGTACACATGTCCAGGAAGCAGACGGGCTGCTTGTGTAACTGTGGTAGACCACTTCCAAATTTTTCCGGCAACAAGTGCTTGACACAGAGTAAGAGCCTAATAAATATTTGTTGGGTGACCTAATGAGGGGTGAATGGATGCAATAATTTAGCCACTTGTTAAATTATCTTGTTTCACATAAACACTTCGCAGTGTAACCATTGCCAGGAATTTGAAAGAAAAAAAAAACCCCTAAACATTTAAGGAAGAAATGCTTAAAAAGGAAAAAAAATCCTTAAAGCTGTGTCTTATAAAATAGAGAAAGATCTCAATGTTTCAGACAATTATTCTCACTTCTTTTTCTGGAACCCCAGGGTCCCAAGGAAGCAGGCTTGGGAACCACTTACCCTCCTATGTGAGCGATGGGGTCAAACGGAGAAAGGCCTTGACTTTGGATTTTAGGTCTGTGAGGGGAAAATCAACCCCTTCTGCAAATCCTTTTTCTTCCTCCTGTACCTGTGTGCCTAGGTGTGCCCTCACAGCAGGGCTGGAGGGGCCAGACTAGTGGTTAAGTAAGTACACCGCAGTCACACAAGCAGCCATGAAATATGCAGCGGTTAAGTGTTTAGTGATTACACACGGAGTGGCTCCGTTCACAATGGTCAAACATGCAGACTCTGCAACCATAAAGAATGCTGGCTATAGACGCTGACACACTCCCGCTCCATTACCTCCTAGCTCAGCTACCTCTCCGGGTATCACGTGCATCATCTGTGAGATGGGAATAAAACATGATACCCGTGTCCCACGTTTGTCACAAGCAATGAGGCCCTCACTCATGCAATGCGCCCTGGTCTTCAGCAAGTTCATGTAAAAATGTACTTTCTATTATTGTATTTTTTTTTTTTTTTTTTTTTTTTAGCATGTCAGAGAGTGGGTCTCAGATAAGAGAAGGGAGCAACACACTCCACAGTCAAAGGGACTCTCCGCAGCCAAAGTGACAACATGGTATCCCTGTTGAGATTTTCATGCCTGGAGCCTGCTCTTCGGGCCCCATGGCACCCCCACAGGCATTCCCAGCGCCCCCCACATTCTAGGCTCACGGTCAAGATCTGTACATGCATATCTGATTTAATCCTCACTCTGATTAGGAGATATATATCTCAATATTCCCATTTTATAGTTGTGAAAACTGAGGCCTGGGAAGGAAAACTAAGTCCCTAAAGTTGCTCGGTTAGTACACGTCTATCTCTATGACACAGTCTCTCCCTTGGATTGAGAGACAGTGTTTTCGAAGTATAGAAATGCCCTTTCTCTCCCCTCTCTCCATCTCCCTCAGCCTCTTATGGAAACAGCTTTTTTCCTGTTTCCTGGAGAGAATTCTCCAGATCTGATGTTGACCTTCACTTCTCCAAGCTGATAGGACTTCACTCTTTCTCCCCCATTGACATCAGAGCCTAAGTAAACCCCGCGGCCGAGACAGTAGGTGGGTAGAGAAGTGGACTTCACCTGTCAGTGATATTCTGGCTTCCCAAACCACTTCTTCCGAATTCAGATTCTTAACTAGACAGCCCTGCTCATGGGCCTTGGGAGTCTATGAATCCTCTGAAATGGTACGTGGAATTTGGGGAGTTTTCTTGGAGCATATCCACACTTTCCCTGGTGGCAGCACTCATAGCTTCCATGTAATTCTCAGATGGGTGCCTAATATAGTTTAGAGTCTGTACCTTAGGAAACCAACAACTCCAGGACATAAAGAGAGAATCTGGACCAGATCAGGGGTCCTCAGGCTAATCTTGATCCTGCCACCTACTGTCCTCAGTTTCCACACCTATAAAATGGCTTTGACACCCTCTGATGCAACAGGAAGAGGTAGGGATTATATCTAGGGCACACCATTGGCAAGGACACTAGGTTCATTTTCCACGTGTCACTGAGTGGGTAGGTACAAGCCCAGGGTAGTGAGAGAGTGGTGAGTTAGTTTCAACCAGCTGATAAAACCAGATAATAAAGACCATGTTGTCAACAAAATTGATTCTCCAGAGGCCAAAGACAGACTAGGCTTTATATGTGCAGGGTGCAAAACTTGAAAATAGAAGCCAGGGGATAGATTAGCTTTTTCATTAGCATCAAAGTATAATGTGGTAGGTGTTAGTCTAGGATTTAAGATCAGAGAGACCATATTTCAAAACTTCACTTTGCCACTTACTGGCTGCCATATTTTTGGCAAGTTACATTACCTCTCCGAACCTCAGTAAAACGGTGTGTCCTCAGATGTCAGCACAGTGCCTGTCACCAATGGGTGCTCAAGAAATCCTGGTTGAATAACTGAATTTAAGGAATAAATGCAAAGATCTGGATCTCAGGAGACAGATCTGGGCTGAAATCATGACTTGGGAATAAGAAGCTTATAGAGTCATTAAAATGGACAGGAACTAGCTCCATCATCTAAGGCAAAGGCAACAAACTTTGACCCCCAGGCTGTATCTAGCCTGTCTTTATAAATAAAGTTTTATTGAAATGCATCTATACACCTTATTTACGTAGAGTCTGTGGCTGTTTCTGGGCTACAAGGGCAGGATTGAGTAGTTGTGGCCGAGTCCATCTGGTCCTCAAAATATTTGCTATCTGGTCCTCTACA